GTCTTTGTGAAATTTCATAAGAGCGCTGTGTCAACCAACTAATTTAATTGGTCATTGTGATTTTTCTATAAACTTAGTTTCAAGGGAGAAGTTATGAGTTTAAATCACCCTAAAGAAAAATTAAATTAGGAGACCAGCATTTCGTACTTTGCAATCACAAATAATAAATGGCTCTATACTTCTATGATCCAAAAAAATAGAAACTACTATTTATCCAATGCACAATCATATGATATTTTTGAAAGCCTATGTGACCCTCCAAGAATTGAAGAAGTTATTTGGTAGTTTTAAAACAATGCTCCACATCATTCATCGCAAGACACTTGTCATGCTATTCTAAGGGGCTGTTTGGGGTATTCTAAATAAGTACACTTTTTTAATTTTTAGACTAAAAAGTTGAGAAAAAAAAAAATTATTATTTGAGATAACTTTTTACAAAAAAATGTGTATTGAAAAATTGTATAAATTAATATATAGAAGAAACTTAGGCAGAGTAGGCAGTACGGTGAGCAGAGTAGTTTATAGGAGAAGCTTGCCTTCTTTTCGGACATTGCATTGGACAATGTTGTTCGGCCCGTTGGGCCCACCACGGGTCCCGTTTTACTAATTGGAATCATTCAATGTGTAGAATTCGTTGAGTACTAGATGCTTGTAAAAAATTACGTTAATCGGATATCGATAGTTATTTGATCGGATTATTTTTTTGTCAACCGTTAACTATAACACCATCCATTTTTTATACAAAACTGATTTGATCATATAGTTAGGGATATCCGATCAATGTGATTTTTTACAAGTATATATTACTCGACGGTTTCTACACATCCCTCGGTTCAGATTATCAAAACGAGACCTGTGATGGGCCCCCACGGGCCGAACAACACCGTCTTGTTTGCTTCTCCGCCTGTTCCCTTTGTACAAACGATGGGCAGCTAAAGTACAACTCACGGGACATGTGAGTTGTACTTTTTTTTTTTTTGTAAAATTAATTTTTTTATATATTTTTTGGTAAATAGTAAATAGTAATAACTTTTTAACTTTTTTAGTAACTTTTTAGCTTTTTAACTTTTTTGAGGTATGCCAAACCAGACCTAAAATCAACACAAATTATTAAAGGAAAAATTACCCGTGAGTCCTATTTGAAAGTAATGTACTCTATTTTATCCTAAAACCTGTTGTTTATATCCAACAGTCCTGTGCGCATTTTCGTTCTTCTCTTTTTTTGAGCTTTCGTTCTTCTCTCTCTTTCTTTTCTTGATTTCCAATGACCACATCTACCTTCTTATCATATACAATCACCAACAACTGTCGACCACTATTGCTTGGGGTTCATTGGCAACCACCGACCACCGATTTCCTATTTCACCCTCACTGCGAAGGAGATAAGTTTTCGATGAAGAAGATGAGTAGATCTACTCAAATCTAATGTAGATCTGAGTAGATATCTATATCAAATCCAACTATATTTAAATCAAAAATAGTTGTCAAAGTATAATTCTCTCTCTTTCTCTCTCTCTCTATATATATATATATATATGTCTCTCTCCTTTAATCTCTTAGGCTCTGTTTGTTTGTATTCTCAAATCAATTTTCTACGTGTGTTTTGGCGCATGATGTTTGGTTCCGTTTTCAAATCAATTTTCTACACTCTCTGCAGAGAACTCTGTGCGCACAGGCGTGTTTTTTGTCCAAAGGAAGACCACCCGGTAGACCACCTGGATGACCCCCCGGTCGACCACCCGGATGTCCACCCGGATGTCCGGTTAATTTCCAGATTTTTTTTTTTTTTTTTTTTTTTTTTTTTTTTTTACATAATCGGGACAAATATTTTCTGAAAATTTTTAAATTTTTTATGTGCTTTAAAATAATTTTGAATTGTATGTTTAGTTATGAGTTGTAAATTTTTGTATCACATATCAAATGTCACATCAATAATTTCCCACTCAAATCAAACCTCTTTTCCAAAACTATTTTCAAAACTCTTTACCAAACAAATTTTCTACACTCAAATCATAATTACACAACATACAAACTCAAAATACAACTCATACTCTCAAATCACATTTACAAAACTCTACCAAACACTACCTTAGTTTTTTTACATTTTTTCTACGACACACTTCTCTTTTCCTGTTTTAGTGGAGAAAATTTCAAGTTCTGAATAAGTTGTTTTCGAGTTTTAGTTATAGACGATGAAAATTGTAAAATTTTACGGCATCAATTTTTTTGGTGCTAAAATGAATCATACTTTAGAACTGTAAAATTTTATAATTTCATAATATGTTTTTCAATTTGATTAATAAGGATAAATACTTAATAAAATCATATTTTGAAATTGTTACAAGTTTACACTTTCAAAGCATGATTTTCAGTTTGATCAATATTGGAGATTATTTTCTTAAAACCCTAAAAAAATTAAAAACTAGCATATATTTTTTCTATTGTTGTTGATTTTTTTTTACTTTTCAGTTTATCAATATTTAGCATATTTGCTATATTTTTTCACTCTAATATCTCCATTTATTTTTTTTAAGTAATATTTTGGACATTCTGGTAAGTCTCCAACGATATTCTTAATATTCAATGAACGTTCTGGACATTTCAGTGACTTCTAGTGACGTTCATAATGCTCTAACGATATTTCGACGCATTTTCAGCCATATTCAGATGACTTCTTGATGATGTTGAATATTTCAAAGAGTCTCCGATGACTACCTAACAAAAATCCGACGGTAATAGAATGTCACAGCGTCTTTAAATTAAAAAAAAATAATAACAATTAAAAATATATAAAATTAATTAGTACAAATATTTATTTTAAAAATAAATAAATTTTAAATTTTATACCTGAGAACTATCTATAAGTTTTCCAATTATTAAACTGTGTCATTTTAATCAATAAAAAATTAAATAGGGTCAGCATATGAATTTCCTCAAGAGGACCACCGAATAGAAGTCGCCGAAAGAAAACTTCTAATCAATACCAAAAGGACTAGGGTATTTTAGGAAAGTTTGCACTTTTTTAACAAACAAAACCGCGTAAACAACAGCATGCTTTTTGCCTGTAATCATTACCATTCATTGCTATTAAAGGGTAAATTACACTCAGCACTCGTTAGATTTGGCAAAAAAAACGTACAATTAAGCGTCGTTTGACGAGTTGTGGTTTTAATCAAAATATTAAAAAGTTAAAAAGTGACTTTAAAAAATTAAAAAGTTAATAATTTATATCAAAAAGTTAAATATTTTATTTTTTCTCTATTTTTTATATATGTTTTCGTAAAAAATAAAAAAATATAAAAAATATACTCCATCCGTCCCAAAATAATGGTCCCTTTTGGGGAATCTAACTTTTTTTGGTAGTACAATTATTGCATTTGAAAAAAGTTGATTTACCAAAATTATCCTTTTGATAGTACATTTTTTGAAAAAATCAATGTCATAATTGTACTTTTTGTATTATTTATTAATTTAAAAGAAGGGCAAAATAGAAAATTTACATTATTTTTGTACTTGATTTTTGAAGCGGGACTAATATTTTGGGACAATGAAAAATGAAATAACGGACTAATATTTTGGGACGAAGGGAGTATTATTTTTTGATATCATATTTTAATTAAAAAGTCAAAAAAGCATTAAAAAATTATATTCCCAAAAGAGGCCTTAGTTCAACACTTTTTAATACGGTTTGGCTAATATTTTGGAGTTAAATAATTACAAAAAGACAAAATAAGCTATATAAGCCAATAAGATAAAATATTATTTTTTACCCATAATCATTACACTTTTTTCTCTCATAAAAGTCAAAAAAGTCACAAAACAAAAATCAAACCAGACTAAAAAAGTTCGAATACAAAAAAATTGGCTAAAAAAGTCAATGCCAAACAAACCTTAACTTTTTTTAAGATTTTAATTTACATAACACGTAAATTTTTATTCATATTCATAAATTTTATTACTTAAAAAAAATAATATTATCATTTATTTTTATTAAAATATATATTTATTTTTATTTATTTAAGTGTTTACTTATCACCACTAATATTAGTTTCAATCACTTTAATTATATTAAAAATAAAATTATTGTAATTGTGTTAAAAGTGTAAGATCAATTATGTATTTTTTCCAATTTCAAAGGAGGTGAGGGTAATTTACTCTATTATTAACCTTAGAGATAGAAAACAACTCCGTTTTTTATTTCTTTCTCACACACAAAAGGAATATAAAGGAAAATCCAACTGGATTTAGTGATTGACTACCGTAAGAGAAAGTGTCTTTTTTAGCAAGAGACTGACCCTGAAAGAATGGAAGGCAATTCCAAAATCAGGCCCGGCCCTCAGATTTTTGGGTCTAAAATTGATAATCAACTAATAAATTTTTTAGATTTTTCATATTTTTTTTATTGAATGAAAAAAAAAATTGAAAGTAAAGAACAAAAGATTTGTGTTAAAATCACAAAAAATACTTAGCATTACATTATAATAACTAATAAGTGTCGCTTGATCCTTACTCTTATTATATTTTTAGAAGCAAATAAATCAATCATACTTGCATAATTTAATTTTTTTACAAAATTATTTTCAATGAATAACAGTGCTAATTATTTTAAATGAGCCTTTCAATTTTTTAATGGATCAATTTATTTTAAGTTAATTGAGGTTTTTCTTAATTTTTTTGGTCTTAAAATATACTTAATATATTAGACTAAACTATAATAAGAGAGACCTCTTTTTTGAGTCTATTTTCAATAGATAACAATGCTAATTTTTTTGAATGGCTTTTTAATTTTTTAATAAATCAATTTATTTTAAGTTAGTATAGACCTTTTTTATTTTTTTTAGAATTAAAATATACCTAATATATTACATTAAATTATACTAAAAAAGATTCATTTTTTAAATCTATTTTAAGAGGTCCTAAATCATGACCTTGTAACCTATGCCCAGGGCCGGTCCTGTCCAAAATACACTTCAATTTTTCACACATGGAGAGACAGAGAGAGAGAGAGTTTCAAAGTTGTATTAAAAATTGAAAGGTATTGAAGATTTTTCTTATTAGAATTTTTTTCTTTTCTTTGATGTGGATTGAATATTCTGGAAGTTCGTGAGAAAGCCATTACTCTCTCTCTCTCTGTCTTGCATTGAGACCTTTATGTTCTATAAAATGACTCACAACCCATATCCCTCCAAACTCCCCTAATTGCTCTTCATTTTCTCTCTTTTCTCATCACAACACAGAGAGAGAGAGAGAGAGAGAGAGAGAGAGAGTTATGGAGGATATAGCTTGTTTATGGAGTTATCAAGAGGTGGGTTACTCTTCATTTTCTTGATTTGTCAATCTTTTTAAGTTCATTCTCGCTTCTGGTTCTGGATACTGTGAATGGTTACTTGTTTGGTTTGGCAATAATTTTAAGCTTTCTCTTACAGTGTACTTGAATTCAATTCAATTCATCTTTTGGTTGAAATTTCATTTCAGTTTCTTTATGTAGAATTAATTGAGTTTTGAAGTAGCTTTCTTTGGATAATGAACTTGTGCGGTGTTCTTCAAGTGTTAAGTTTATTTCTTGTTTTATTTTATTTTATTTTTTTGATTTTTGATTTTTTTTGGTACTTAAAAATCTTTCCCAGAAAAGAGTATTCCCTTCAACACAGAGATGTATTTCCAAGTCATGCATTCCACTGTTTGAATTCATGTCGCCTAAATCACAATAGAACAACTTTATCATTGTGCTAAGGGCCAAATGTTTTCATTTTAGGCTATTAAACAAATCAAATTATTTAACTTCAATTCGTGTTTAACTTGTTAAAATTTTATTATTTGATATTGACTTGCTCCGTAAACAAGTTAAACTTAAATAAATGTAAAGTTCGTTAAATTTTTAAATTAATTTTAAACAATCTATTACTTGAATCGATACATTTATATGTCCTATAAAAAATTAAATTACTTAAGTTCAATTCAAGATTGATTTGAAATATAAATAAGTTAAGTTTGAATATATTTTAAAATCTATTAAATTTTCAAATTATATTTAATGGCAATTTTCAGTTTCAATTAAAAATTACTATAAATTATCATATTATTTTTTTTACTTTCCTATACATTTTTTATAAAAAATTAAAAAATTATTAAAATAATATATTTCCAACCGTGACTTACGCAGTTCATTTATAGCCCTGTTTTCGTATGCTTGCACAGACAATTTGTTTCCTCTTCACTGTATGGAAACATGTCTCCTGTTAGAATCTCAACTTAGAATTTATTTTTTTTTGTAATCATTTAAGAGGCCCCATTGTCCATTTTAGTTCTTTGAGGTAGGAATTAACTCTTATTTAATTCAATAAAATAACTTGGCTTGACTAAAGTGCTCATGGTCCATCTTGGGATATTGTTGTTCCTCCTAACTTTGAATTTTCATGGAATCATTTGGATCCAGTTTGTCGTGGGTTTTGGCAAATCAATTTCTAATAATTTTTTAAAAGATTTTTTAAGAAACAAAACATTTGTTTAAAAAATTGACTTGTTTATAAAAAAGTATTTAAAAAATGCTAAAAAGGGTGTTTATTTTTTAAAAAAAGATTTAGTTAAAACTCCCTCATAATAAAATTTTAATGTATTAAGAACAAGTATAAAAAGTTTTTCTTAAGAAATTCAACACATTACTATTATCAAAATATTAAACTTTAAATATAATAGAACTTTTGATCTAGATGTCAATTTTTAATAAAATTAGTATTTTTAGAATTCTCTCATCGAGATCTATCAAATAAGGTTCATGTTGATTATGAAATTCTAAAAAAAAAAAAAATTATTACTGTCGAAATTGATGTAAATAGTAACATGTTACTCTGTGTTAGCAATAACATGTTACTCGGATTCATAGCAACATGTTATCTTGACAATATTGTCTAAAAAAAAAAAGATATTTTATTTTATCCTTACTCAATTATGAGCCTCCTCCGTAAGGGGTTTATGAAACAAAATAAATTGGATTATCATTTTTACAGAATTGGGGTGGCTGCTGTGCAGGGGTGCACAACAGCCATTGCTGTGCAGCCATTTGGGCCCTTTTCAGGGCTCATTTTGATAATTCGAACCGTTCACATTTTAGAATACATCAAGTAGAACATATCTGTAAAAAATCAAGTTAATCGAATATCGTTTACCCATTCATCCACTCACATTTGTATCTACAAAAATAAATAACAATTGTAATTTAAAGTATTAAAATGAATACAAATGTGAGTAGATAAATGGGTAAACGATATTCGATTAACTTGATTTTTTACAAGTATATTCTACTTGATGTATTCTAAAATGTGAACGATTCGGATTATCAAAATGGGCCCCAAAAATGGCCCAAATGGCTGCACAGCAGTAGCTGCTGTGCACCTCCGCACAACAGCCACACCAATTCTCATTTTTACTAAACAAGGATCTAATGGAAAGATTTTGGCTAAATTTCGTTTTCAAAAGGAAAATAGTACCACTTATACTCAATTTTTATGGATTATAGTACCTATTACAAAATTATTTGGATATTTTGAAAAATTAGTTAAAAGTTAATTTGTTTTGATTTTTTTTGTTTTTTCTTCATCTTTTTATAGATAAAAAATATAAAAAATAATGTAACTCAAAATAAATTAAAAATTAAAAATTAACTTTTAATTAACTTTCTAAATGAGCCCATTGTAAGCTAAAAGTATTATAGAGAATCTCACTGTACTTTTTATATCAAATATGTCACCATAAGGATAATGACATAATTGATCTAAGATTCGAATTTTAAAAAAGTGAAAACACATGTGATTTCTTATCATTTAAAAGTCTTACTAATTGCTAGTATAACATATATAGATCTATTCATATAGTGGTGGCCATTTATCTAATTGAATATTATTTTATATATACACTTTGCTTTAAAATAATAAATCTCAATATAGTTGTATCATTTTATATATATAAAAATATGTGCATTTATTTTTGTTTGTCTATTTTTATTTTTTATAAAGATTTCTAATATTCCATGAAGCTTTTTGGTGCCACTGTCTCCTCACAACTTATTAATGTAGGAAATTCTATGATACACATATAGCCCATGTTTGTTTGGGTAGATTGAATTAGGTTATATTAGTATTTACATGATTAATAGTTTTAGAATTACGAATTTCTTTAAATTTTGTATCTTATCCTATGTTTGGATTGAGGTAAGATTATAAGGAATGACTAATAGTCTAAACTTTTGCTTAGTCTTTCAATTTATATCACATTTCTTATGTGAGATTGAATAGTCCATCATATATGAGATATCATATCTGGATAGATTGTTAGTCTGTATTTCAATTATTTAACCAAATATCAAATTAATAATTTTATTGAATTATTAATCCAATTCCAAATTTATATCCACCCAAACAAACATAGCATATTTCTTTTGAGATCTAACATTTTGGAAGCATATATAAAGTAGAAAGGCTATGCTATTAAAAAAGTATTCACAAAATTGTCATAAATATCAAATTAACGGTGTATATTGAAATCTTGACCAATGATATAAAATTCCGAGACTTTTCTGAGTTTTTTTCCCGGGGTTTTAGTATTGCAGTTTTCTGTCTTTCACTCATTGGGTTCGTCTGAAAATCTGCAGAGCATAGATGAATTGAAGCAAAAGCTTCTCCACACCACTCTGGAACTAGAATCAATCAAAGTACAAGCAAATGAAGAGCTAAGAAAGAATAGAGACTACTCAAATCAACTCCTCCAACTCCTCAAGATTACTTTCCATGAAAGAGACCAAGCCATAGACCAGCTCCAAAAGCTCCAAAACCATCTCACCATCCCTCAAATCCAACCCCACAACACCCCTCTCCCCAAACCCATCAATTCAATTTCAAGCATAACTGATTCAGACTCTCTCTCCACCAATTCCTTCTTCGATTCTGTCTCATCCCCAGAACTCTCCACCATAAACATGCCTGATTCAACTAACGATCAGGCTTGTTTGGTTATTGAGAAAATTGTGGAGGGAAAGTCTCTGCCTAGAAAAGGTGAGCTTTTACAGAGTGTGCTGGAAGCAGGGCCTCTGCTTCAGACACTTCTCGTCGCCGGACCACTGCCGCGGTGGCGGAATCCTCCGCCTCCTCTTCAACCCTTCAAAATCCCACCTGTTTCTGATGTCAATTTGAGCTTTGGAGATAACTCACTGAGTTCGTCATTGTTTGTTGAGATGTGTTGTGGGTCAACAACACCTGTTTTGGATTTTGGAACTGGGGTTTCTGGGTGTTGTTTGGATGGTGGGAAAATGATGCCTGCTGGAGATAAAAATTAAAAATTAACTTTTAATTAACTAACCTGCTGGAGAAAATGCTAACTGTTTTCCAGCCGGAAAGCGACAGAGATTTCAATGAAACCACGATGATACTCTGTTTCTTCTCTTTTCTTTTTGAGTGAATTACATTAATAGTCCTATAATTTGGTACTTGTTTCACTTTGGTCCATAAATTTTTAATTGTGACACATTTGATCATGAATTTTGAATCTTGTTCCAAATAAAGACAATTGAAAATATCATTAGCTTTTTCAAGGATAAAATCATCAATTTGATAAAATATAAATTAATTTGACAAAAATAAATGTCAAACAAATATTTTTGAATTTTTAAAAATTATTTCTACCAACTAAAAATAAAATTATGTAAAATTGATAAATTTTTAGACATTTATATATTTTTTTACCAAATTAATTTTTATTATGTGTTTAGATGATGATCATGTAAAATTAATTTTTAAAAATTAATCATATAATTTTTATCAATTTTACATAATTTTATTATTGGTGGATAAAAATAATTTTTAAAAAATAAAAAATATTTTTTTGACATTTATTTTTATCAAATTAGTTTATATTTTATTAAATTGATGATTTTGCCCTTGACATTAAATAATGGTATCTTCAATTGTCTTTATTTAAAACAAGATTCAAAATTCAGGGTCAAATGTGTCACAATTGAAAAGTCAGGAACTAAAGTGACATAAGTGTCAACTATAGGAACTGTTAATGTAATTTACTCTTTTTTTTTTTTTTTTGTCTTGGAGGGGGGAGGGGGTGTTGTGAAAATCGATCGTTGGTGTAAATGGGAATACTGAACCATTTTAGGTTTGAATGACATAATTATTTAACTTTGATCTGAAAATTTTATTTCAATTTTGTGGTTAAATATTATGGATTTAAATAATCTCAATTACATGGTTTGATGCATTATTCAAATTCATGGTTTTTTTGAATGGTTTATGTGCAAACAACATAACTCACCATTTATTGTAAGATAAAATCTTAATCCCTAAAACGAATTCTTGAGTTTTTAATTTTTTTTAGTTGTTAGTTTAAGGTTTATAATATTAAAATTTTATAAGATAAAAATCATATAATATTTTTACTTGTTGGGGTCTCTCAACATTTTCATAAAAAAAAATTCAAGATAGAAATTTCAGCTCTTTAATGAGAAATTTTATAGAGAAATTTCAACTCATCACAGAAAAATTTAAATTAAGGAATCTTAAGTAATAAGAAAAAACATTAAACATCTCTATTACTAAAAGTTTGAGAAAAATGTTTCACTAATTTCTCTTCTTTTTCTTTTTCTTTTTTAAGTTTATGTAAGTCATTACTTCGAAACTTTTAAAATTATAAAACAAATAAATAAATAAAATGTTAAAAATACCTACATATAAACAAATTAGTATTCTCACCATAACAAAATTATTGCACTAATAAAATGGCACTAATTCTATTTTTTGTTTTTCCATATTCCAGTTTTCAACCTTAAGCTCAAAATAGTATTCTCCAACAATGTTATCAAGAAAAAACACTTCACAAAATGTGTGAATCAAACTCATTACAGTTGTGACTTACATTATATTTACTTTAAATTTATACTATATACCTTATAATCTAACCACTATTTGAATGATTTTTTTTCTTTAGTAACTTTTTCCTAGTTTTAGAACTCGTATGGGAATTGATTATTAGTTAATTTTTTGATTTTTTAAGAAAAGTTGTATAAAAAATTAGAGAAACTAATGTGATAATTTGTAGTGATTTTTTCATTATTTTAACCTATTGACAAACGAGGTCTAAAGTTTATTTAGAAATTGATTTTTTTAATAACATTTTAACTTTTTATAAAAAACATAAAAATAATTAATTAACTTTTTATAATAATTTTTTAATTTTAAACATTCATCACATCGATGTTGGCAATTGGCTAAAGTTTTAGTCTGGACAATTGTTTCTGTATGAGGTGGAAACTAATTAGTTTTTTTATCCTTTGTTTGCACAGAAGAAAGGAAGAAAGAAAAATTTTTAAAAAATAAAAATCACATTTTGAAACCCTAGTAATAAAATGAATTTTTAATTTTTGATTTTATCAATTTAAATCCTAAATTTTTTATTTGTTTTTAACTTGAACCGTTTGTCTATTTCCATGAAGTAAAATCAACGGAAAAATAAATATTTTAATCATTAAACTCAATAAAAATAAGTATTTTAAACATTTTATGTATATTTATATTGAGTCTAATAATTAAAATATTATTTTTTCATCTGTTTTAATTAACAAGACTAAGCAAATTGTTTAGAATGAAAATATATCAAAAGATTAATATTTAAATTAATAAAATTAAAAATTTAGGGTTTATTTTGTTAGGGTTGGGCTTTTCTCATGTTGATATCTCAACATAGAACTTGGGGAGTTTATAAGGCCCACCACGTCTTGTTTTGATGATTCAAATTGTTTATTTTGTAGAACTATCAATATATATTATACATAAAAAAATTAGTTTGATCCAATAATCATAACTTTTTTTATTTTATCGCATTTATCTCTACAAAAATGAACAACAAATATATTTTTGAAATTAACTATATTCATTTTTTTAGAGATAAAATGTGACAAAATGAAAGGATTACAATCATCGGATCGCCTTAAATTTTTTCAAGGATAACATACATTGAATGCTCTATAAAATGAACGGTTTAAATCATCAAAACGAGACTCATGATGGATCCTATGGACCCATCCAATTCTCTCATGTTAAAATCTCAACATAAGAAAAATCTAACCTATTTTGTTATAAAGATCAAATCTCAAGATTTTTTTTTTTTTTTTTGTAATTATTACAAAAAGGGCATGGCTTCTGTCCAGTCCTTAATCAGATTGGACCGTGTTGCTGGGCCAATGTGGGTCCACCACGGATCCCTTTTTGATAATCTGAACCGTTCAATGTGTAGAACTCGTCGAGTACTATATGCCTGTAAAAAATCACGTTAATCAGATATCGATAACTATGTGATCAAATCAGTTTTGTATAAAAAAAAATGGACGGTGAATAAATTAGCTATTGACAAAAATCTGTTTTGATCACATAGCTATCGATATCCGATCAACGTGATTTTTTACAGGAATATAGTACTCGATGAGTTCTACACATTGAACGGTTCAGATTATCAAAATGGAACCCATGGTGGGCCTCCACGGTCCAGTCTGATTAAGGACTGGACAGAAGCCATTCCCTTACAAAATATATATATTTAAGTAGTTTTAGAGCAAGTCCATATGGTATCCCATTGTCCCAACAATGAGTTTTATTGATTAAAATAATAGAACTTAATACTTTATATGGGGATTTTAAAAGACACCTAACAAATATCGGCCTCTTTTGGCAGGTGTTAAAAGTAATTTTTTATTTTTTATTTTTTATTTTTAATCTCTTTTGGGTCATATTATTTCTCAAATTTTTTATACATTTTTTCAAAAAAAAAATCAAAAAAATCAAAAAAAAAATTGTCTTTTTAACTTACTTAGCGTGAAATATTGCTCACAGATAACCAAATAATCTCTCGGTGAGCTCTGTGTTTTCTGACCACCTCAAATGCAACCGTCAATAAATGTCTTAATGCACCAAATAAATGGGAATAATAATAATAATTGAATAATGATATATCTACCAATTAATATATGTGGCATAATTTTAGAGGTTTTGAATATTTATAATTTATATAATAGGTGAGGTCAGTAATAATGACATAACACTAGTTGGTACACTTTTATGTACATTAATTAATACATGTAGCACTACCGATAATAATAACTTAGCTAATAGAAGAAATATGGTACCATATAGACTGGACCACCATTGAATCTGAAGAGAAAATTGTTAAAATTCACAAGAAAAATAACGTAAGAAGACTTACACATTTTGTTGTCCATGTGAGGTGCTAAGAAGATGCATCAAAAGACTGACAAAAATGGAGTGAAGAAAATATTGAATCTAAAGACAAAATTGTTAAAATTCAAAAGAAAAATATCGTAAGAAGACCTACACATTTTCTTGTCCATGTGAGGTGCTAAGAAAATGCATTGCATCAAAACATTGACAAAAATGGAGTGAAGAAAATGACACTGTCGTCATCATTGTACCAGTAGTTATATGATAATATTTTCAGAGTACCATGCTTCATGTTGAGTGTGATTTGCCTTTTTTTTTTTTTTCTTTTTTTTTTAATCTCCTAACAGTTCTTGGAAACTTCTGCATCACGCAATGGTAGTTGTTTGTTTGGCTAGTCTGACCAATCAAAACTTGTATAGTTTATATTTCCATTCATTCCAAGTAAATTTCAAGTGGAAGAGGTGAATAACGGATATATCGATCTGTTTAAATCGGTCGAATTGAACCGATCTATCGCATTTTGGATGGATACGTGATGACGAGCAGACGGTTACAGATTGATTTTTTTTAATTCGCCTAGTTTTGGATAGATGACGAATTTGAAGTTCATTTGGCTACAACCAAACCGCGAGCACCTCTAATAATTTGTAAAATTTTATGTTTTCAATTTGTTTAGATATTCTGTTTGTATTTTCAATTGAAAAAGAGTTTTCACCTTGAATATATTTTTTGAATTAAAAAAAATAAATGTACATTATAACACATAAGAGTTTTAGAGACCATTTTTGGTCTCTAAAAGTGAAAATTTTGTTACAAAAGATATTTAGGGACCAATTTCTATCGTTGTGAGGATAATCGCTAAAAGATCGCCCCGAAAGTCAAAAATAAGACTTTTAGCGACAAAATTTTAAAAATGTTACTAATAAATACACTTTTGGGGATAATAATTTGGTCTCAAAATGGTTTATTTTTTGAGACAAAAAAATTGGTCTAAAAAAAACAGTAATTCATCATTAATGTCCAATTTTTGTTGCTAAAAATATAATGACACTTTTCGCAACAAAAATATTTGGCCCTTAAAAAATAATTTTGTCCCTAAATTTTAGTCTTTGAAACTTTAATTTTTTGTAGTGGTACTATTTATCTATATTTTTTGATTTTTAAATCTAATTCTAAAAATAATAAATAAAAAAGATGATATATGCTGGTTGGTTTTTGTTTTCAAAAACAGATATAGATGTAATAATATAGAGACATACAATCTCTACTACTGCTTTATTCATGATTTTGGAGGTTTGAAATGTTTTTATATTTTAAGAATAACATATTGCAATACTTTATGTAGATAATGCATGCTGTGATTGTAATATGTGGATGAGGCATGCAGTGATTATCATATTTTAAAGTTTCAAACTTTTTTTTCTTTGAATGAGGCATGCAGTGATTGTAATACTTTTTTAAATAATTGACTGTAATACTTTTTTTTTTTTTAAGAAGTGCACAAGTTGAATTATGTCGAAAATTTATAAAATTTTAAACTGTCAAACCGATTCGCATCCATCCGTCAATCCGCTCAATCCACATCCGCCGAATTGACAAACGGATGCAGATTGATTTTCTTCAATTCGCCAATTTGGCGGACGGATAACGAATTGAAGGTTTTGTGATCGCAACCGACCTGCACCCACCCTAAGTGAATCAATCAAAAATCTTTGAATTTATTAGGAACAAAAAAAAATTGATCACAAAATTAATTATACAGTACATATGAATATATAAGATTTACGAGATTAATTACTAGGGTACATCTTAAAAAAAATCTCATCGGTTTCAGTTAGTGTGTTCACAAATTTATATTCATTTGTGGGCATCTCTCAAATTCAACCCAAATTATACTTAAAACCCCCTCGCGACCCGCACAATCCAACAAATGAGATCTTCTTTTGTTTTTTTGGAACACCCAAGTGGGATCTCGCTCAATCCCACCCAGTTTTGATATTTACATATTCTCGAAATTTTAAAATGAGAAAAAAAATAAACAAATGTTATATAATTTTGGGATTATTTACACTTTGAACTACTATAATTAAAATTTTATTTCGGTTCCTATTGTTTGAAACAGAACAGTTTAGTCCCTCACTTTTTGCGGTGACAAAGAAATGGATCACCCTCTCTGCATTTTTGCTGTGACATGCTGAAAATGATGAGTAAGCTGGTCAATAAGGGCAATAAAAAAATAAAAATAAAAAATTCAAATATGAAACAAAAAATAAAATGACAAAAAAGGACATATGTTTTAGATTTGAATGATGCAAGTGGTTAGTTATATCCTAAAAATTGTCACCAACCTAGGTATCGCATTGTTTTGATCGTCCAACTTCTTCAATCTCCCTACAAACATGCACAATCAAATGCATTCATTGTATTTATCGACATGTTTTGTTTTGTAGAATATGATAATAGAATTTGTGAAACATTCACAATATATTAATATATTCTCCTAAAATAAAAATTCTTCAATCTACCAAGGTTCAATGAGAACAACAATCTACATTAATTTTATATCTTACTAAACTTATAGTAACTAAAAAAATGAGATATATGTCATCTTTTCTATCTTCCAAGAGTTGCACAAACCCTTCAAGAATCTAAACAATTTCATCACAACATGACTTCGACTCCGACCCCATCTCCGACCCTAAAAAATCCACATTGGAGTCCGTTACTGGTCACTTTCTTGTCCGTCATTTGCCTAATCTTCCTGTTATTTACTTACTGCAAAATACTAAAACACTGCTGCACATTTCAAAGATTATCGACAAACCGTGCTCCAACCCGACTCCTAGATGAGGCCAACAATCGCGACGACCCTTCCCTCCAGTTCCAGAGCCGAGGCCTTGATTCTTGCGTTATGCACTCACTTCCCATCACGCGGTTCACGAAAAAGGAGGAGAAAGAATCAGGGGAAAGCGAGCCAGATTGCGCGGTTTGTTTGGCTGAATTTGAGGAAGGCGAATGGGTGAAACATTTGCCAAACTGTTCTCATGTTTTTCATGTTTCGTGCATTGACATTTGGTTCCAGACTCATTCGACCTGTCCATTATGCAGATCATGTGTTTCGGTTTCTGTGTACAGTTTGATTGAGACTCTGAGGAGGGAAGATTTCGTACAAGATAGATCGATGCACTATCAAGTTGTTCGGTCACATGTCTTACAAACTTCTTCAGTTAGAATAGATACACAAGCCAGTTGATTCATAGAGAGTTATCTGTCTAGGAAAACAGAAACCGACCATAGAACCAGATACAAAACCCTCTTCTGGTTCTGTTATCGGTTTCTATGTATGTAGAAAAATTGTTTTCCAACGCTTCTGAGACCTTTTTCCCAGAAACATTGTTTTGGGATTACCAAATGTGAGAAAAGATATATCAAGAAAAGAGTAATCGATGAGATGAAAATTGAAGTCTACTTAATCCTTGTTCAGTCTAATCTCATGGTAGTAACACTGTGTTTGAATCTTGGATTTGCAGAGAGATTTATACATAGAAAGGAAAAGAGAAGGAAAGTGAATGATTTTTTTATTTTATTTTTTTGCTTCCATTTTTTTTCCCTTCTAGAAATACAAGATCCAAACACAACCTAAGACAACAATATTTCAGCAGTCCTGGAGCCTCACAGTTCCAAGATTCTTGTAATAATAAAACCAATAATGTCAAAAGAGAAAAAAATCATCAGCTAATTAGTTACCATGCGATGAAAACGACTTAGAAAATCAGTTGTATAAAACGTTCTTGAAATCAGATTTAGAAAGTCAATACAACTGATTTGGGGGAGAGTAAAAATTATCTCAAACCATTGATTTAGATCAAAGTCTCTGCCAAAATCTCTGTACAGAATCATATTATATATCTGTAAAAACCTTTACACTATGAATAACGTAACAAATCTGTATAAAAAGATAATCAAATAGATACTGAGTCTTAAGTAATCAGCAACAAAAAAACAACTATAGAACTGAACTCCATATGACCACAAGAACTGCCTCATCAAATTCAAGATTGTTCAAGAATCATTCAATCTCTTGTACTGATGAGTTTGTATCATTTACATTTGGACTGATGAATCCAGCCAATGGTTCCTGTATATCAGATCCATATATATGACCCATCTTGGTACGCTTTGTCTCCAAATACCTTTGATTTTCTTCAGTAATGGGCGTCAAGACAGGAACGCGCCCAACAACAGCCAAGCCGTAGCCCTTTAAACCGGTGAATTTGGCCGGGTTGTTGGTCATTAAGCGCATGGTTCTTACTCCTATGTCTCTTAGTATCTGTTTGGTATCAAGGAAAAGAAGTACACAATATGAACGAGGACAAATTAAGATCATGGAAAAGCAAAACAAGTTTTGTGTGCTTCTATGGAAGCTAATTCCACACAGCCACACTGTTCAGCCAAGCAGGACACATGGCTAAATGACCGAACAGTGTATCTAGTCAAGCGTCCAGACAAGTATGCTGATCGGGCGGCCAAGCCCAAGCAAGGGATTGGGCAAAGTCCACAAAATGTGGGGTTATGCTCATCTCTTCAAGGAAAATGAACCCGCCTAGGGCAGAGCGATGTGAGCAGGTGGGTGCTAGAATGGCCAATTCAAGTAATATAAGCAGCACGTTCAGACTAAGGGCAAAGGTACGCAATCTAAACATTCATATCGTTATTATGAGAGTTTACACCTATAGTCTAATGACTTAAGCATTGGGGTGCCCTCTGGCTGGACACCCCAACTGGCAAGGGCTCACTGTCTTTGCTTGCAGGTTCACAAAGTGATAAAATTGGAGTTGGTTCAGCTCGTTGTCACTTCCACAAGTGTGGCAGATTTTTCCCCAAATACACAGTTTTTCAGAAACTAAAAACAGAAAACAGAAAAGATACCAATCAGGAAAGGAACGTTCATCGAACTGACCTGGGCACCAATCCCATACTCACGAGTATCAGCAGCAAATCCAAGTTCTAGATTGGCGTCAACTGTGTCATGACCTTGATCCTGCAAATTATAGGCCCGAAGCTTGTGACCGAGGCCAATTCCCCGTCCTTCATGACCTCGAAGGTACACAAGAACTCCCCTTCCAGCTTGTTCGATTAACTGCATCGCCAATGCCAACTGGTTTCCACAATCACACCTAGCTGACCCGAAAATATCACCAGTCAAGCACTCGGAATGAACCCTTACAAGGACATCTTGTCCGTGTCCAATTTTTCCCTGTTGAAATTCGAAGCAAACAAAAATATCTTAGCAGGAGAATGGAAAACCAGCGTTCAAACCGTATCAAGATTGACTTACCGGAATGTTACATTATTACCTTCACCACTGCTACGTGCTCTGTTCCGTCCAGCTTTGAGCGATAGCAATAGGCCTCAAACAGACCCCATTTTGTAGGCAAACGCGAAACAGATGTCCTTTCCACCAGGTTTTCCCTTTTTCTAATATACCTACAAGCACAATGCACAATGAGTCGATTAGAATTTCTTTTAAAGTCTTTAAAGACAACCTTAATGACTTGTTTGAATGGCGCACCTAATCAAATCAGTGATTGAAACAATTGGAATGCTGTGTTCAAGGGCCAACTTTCTTAAATTGGGCAGAGAGGCCATGGAACCATCATCTGCATCAACAACAGCGGAAAGAAGAGAAATTGGAGAAAGGCCAGCCAGCATGACTAAATCTACAGAAGCCTCGGTATGACCAGCTCTCCTTAGAACCCCACCATTTCGGTACTTGAGGGGAAACACGTGGCCCGGCCTTCTGAAGTGTTCTGGCTTAGAATTAGCAGATGAAAGAGCAAGGACAGTTTTTGCTCTGTCTGAAGCTGATACCCCTGTAGATGTGCCCGCTTTCACATCCTACAAAGCCAAACTTGAGTATATGATTAACTAGTCAATGCGATGCCCTCCTAGCTAGCTTCAGATAGAACTGGTATATCTCGTGACAAAGAAGCGCTAAATGTTTAAGAACAGAATTGTAATACACATGACAATGGAAGAACCAAATGCATCATTTATTATTGGTCTGCCAAAGGAATTCCAATAATGTATCAATCACAAGGTTCAATTCACTTCCCATGGGCTAGATTCCCATGGGAAAGAAAAAGAGTATCATCAGCAACTTTCTTTAGACTCCTGGCTTGCAGTTGGCAGAACACTAACAACTATAAAATTGAGCTAGATTAATACCACTGTGACTGTAAAAGAGGGAGCAGATGGGTCATCTTTGTCCTCAGGTGACATTAGAGGGAGCTTTAGTCTCTCAAGATCCTCCGCTTTCATGCCGACAGAAACAATCCCTGATCCATGCTTAACAATAAACGCCATAGCTGCAGGACTTGTAAGAGATGCTGCCATAGCAAGGTTTCCTTCAACATCTCCACTTTCATCATCTACAACAATCACAAACTAACACATAAATTTGCACAATCGGATCAGCAAATATTCCATTGATGCTTGAAGTTTTATAGAACTTTAACCAAAAGAGTCAATTGTATAAGCACATATCTTATGTGTTATCCAATAATTGAAGGGTTTTAATCCACAAAACAGTAATGAAAAATAAATCAAACACACATAACACAAGTTATATGTTATTCAACAATGTGCCTATGACCATGGAGGAGAGGAAGATTAAATTCACCATTCATAATAAGAATTACAAATCTCAGATTCTCTTAACTTACTCTTCGTCTATTTGGCTGGAAAATATTTTTTTTAAAAGGTTTTCTACATTTTAAGGTGTTTGATACGATGGGAAACAAAATTCAAACCTAAAGTTAACAGAAAACCAAGTTTATTTTGTCGGAAATATATTTTTCAGTTTTGAAAGGTGGTCAATGTTTTTGAGGCTGAAGTTTTAGCAATGTTGCAGCCGCTGCCACCGCCTCGTCATCACCATCACCTTCCCCATCACCATCCCGCCACCACCACTAGCACATAATTTTCAAAGTTGCAACCAAACATAAGAAAATATATTTTTTTTTTAGTGCAGAAAATGTTTTTATTAAAAAATATTTTCTGTGCGTCAAAGCAAACAGAGCGCTAGTTAGACCCTCTCAATTCAGCCTTTCAATAATATTGTTACATTATCATACAAAACACCACCACTAGCACATAATTTTCAAAGTTGCAACCAAACATAAGAAAATATATATTTTTTTTAGTGCAGAAAATGTTTTTATTAAAAAATATTTTCTGTGCGTCAAAGCAAACAGAGCGCTAGTTAGACCCTCTCAATTCAGCCTTTCAATAATATTGTTAAAAATGATGTATTATTGATTGATATATTGATGTTGTGTATGTTTCTTTTATATATTACAAATGGTGAGTGGCTCATTATATAGGAGAGGGTGAGTGTAGTAGGTGAGGAGTAGGTGGTGGTAGGTGATGGTAATTTGGTGGTAGGTGATGGTAAATGTTAACAGCCCCCCGCAAACTCAAGAAGGATAGAAACTAACCAACTTGAGTTTGGAGAGAGTAACAAAACAAGAAAATACATAAAAATAAATAATAAAAAAATACAGAAAAATAATAAAAAAAAAGATAGGAGACTCTGTATGGTCGTGTCAGACCGTTGGTTAAGACACTATATGGTGGTGTCATAACGTGGTAGAGGACACTGTATGGTGGTGTCATAACGTTGTAGAGGACACTGTATGGGGGTGTCATAACGATGTAGAGGACACTGGATGGCGGTGTCAGACCGATGTAGAAGACAGTTTATGGGGTCATGTCGGACCGATGTAGAAGACAGTTGTATGGGGTCATGTCGGACGTTGTGTAGACAATGTGTGACAGTTGTTGTGACAGTTTACGGAGTCTTGCTGGCCCTTGTAGAAACTAACCGGAATCAATGTCGGGACAGTTTACAAAGTCTTGTCGGACCCATGAAGGAGCTAACGGAATCAATGTCGGGACAGTTTACAGAGTCTTGTCAGACCCTTGTAGAAATTAACCGGAAACAATGTCGGGACAGTTTACAGAGTCTTGTCGGATCCTTGTGAAACTAACCGGAATCTATGTCGGGACAGTTTACAGAGTCTTGTCGGACCCTTGTAGAAACTAACCGGAATCTATGTCGGGACAGTTTACAGAGTCTTGTCAGACCCTTAAAAAGTGCACCCTCAAAAGGTGGTGCCAATCTGTCAAAAGGCGTGCCATCAAAAGGCGTGCCCAATCCATAAAAGGCATGCCATCAAAAGTTACGCCCTCAAAGCGCGCGCCCACTTCATCAAAAGTCGTGCCCGACAGAAAGCGTCGAGCCATCAAAAGGTGAGCCGGAGACGCGGCGAGGCACGTGAGCGACAGTGCGCGTGTCGGCCTCTTCGTCATGTTCTATATAAATCAATGCGGAGGCTGAGGCCGAAAACCTGCTAAATCTTTTGAAAAACTCTTCCTTGCCTGAGAGAGAAACTCTGTAATACTCTGTAACCAACCCGTCTCTGAACCACTCAGCAACATGGCCTCTTCTTCCCGTCCAGCTACCCAAAACATGGCCTCCTCTTCCCGTGGTCTGCTCACGCTCTTTCCAGAACTGAACGAGCCCACAAGAGAAATAACTGGTGCGGTGGCCAGTGAACCTCAACAAACACCATAACCCTCTGGTTTTGCTCGTTGAACTTTCCGATGCGGTCGGTGGAGACAAAAAAATAGCGGTGCAAAACTGATATTGAGGCCAATCAGTATACTCTGAAGTCATGTGTGGAAACCATAACTGCGGTCACAAACTTGTCGCACTGGCTGCAGAGCAGGACAAATGAGGTGCAACAGTTAAACTCCCGCTGGCTCTGCTCCAACGCATGTATAAGGATGCGGCGAGCAGAGATAAGTGTGCTAAAGACAGAAAACAAGGAGCTGAAAGCGGAAGGCACCATGATGTTCCGATTTGGAGGTCCACCATATGCTGTAGTGGAGGAGCAGGGAGGAGGAAACTTGCTTTGGTGGTTTTGGAAACACGGAGGCAACCCCGTCAAGGGCCGGCCAGGACGGAGGCAAGAAGAAGAGACCGACGGTCGAGTAGAGAAGAAAAAATCCCGCCTGTGGGTGTGGTTGTTTTTTTTTTTTTTTTTATGTAAAATTGTGAACGGGAGCCCCGACATGAATAAAAGGAATGTGGTGTGCAAGTTCGTCGTCTGCCTGTTTTTTTTTTTTTTTTTTTTTAATAATAATAAGAGGGGACAAGCCCACATGGGTGGCTTGGAAACTATATGCTGGGTTTTTGATCAAAACCGTGGGCGTGAAAGTGAGAGAGAAGGAGAAGAAGGGATGATGGTCTGTGCCAATATAATAAAATAAACATAGATATATATATAGAGAGATATGTATTAAAATAAGAGAAAGTGGAGTGGGGTTGAATAAAAAAATTGTGGCATCAGAAAGTGCTGTCTGTCAATCCCGTGGGTGTGTGTGTGAGTGTGGGAGAGATGATTATGTTGGAAAAAAGAAGAGAGAGACTTGGGACTCTATGGGTTGTCAAAAAATAGAATAATAAAAAAAATGCACAGGTGTAGGCTCTTGGGACTCTATGGAGAAGGCAACTGGCATTCCATCTCTGGCAAGAACATGGGGTTGGAGAGCGGGACTCAAGTGGCAAGAACATGGCTTTTTTCTTCTGTGTATCATGATGGAAAGTTGGAGTCTGTCGCACGTTATGATCTGCTTGGCGACACTACAGTTCTTAAAATAACGAAGAAAGAAGAAGAATTTGTGTTCTCTGATATATCTGAGCAGCCAATTCCGTCTTTCTTGCGGGGTTATAGTGCTCCTATCCGACTTGATTCTAATCTCAATGACAGTGATCTGTTTTTCCTTCTTGCTCATGATTCAGATGAGTTCAACCGTTGGGAAGCTGGACAGATATTGGCAAGGAAGCTGTTGCTCAGCCTAGCTGCTGATTTCCAACAAAATAAACCATTGGCTCTAAATCCACAGCTTGTGCACGGGTTGAAATGCATACTCTGTGACTCGAGCTTAGACAAGGAATTCATTGCTAAGGCAGTAACTCTACCGGGTGAAGGAGAGATTATGGACATGATGGAAGTTGCAGATCCCGATGTTGTTCATGCCGTCCGATCTTTCATCAAAAAAAAAGCTTGCTTCTGAACTGAAAGAAGAGTTTCTGAGCATGGTCAAAAACAACAGAAGCTCAGAGAACAAATATGTGTGAGGCAGAGAAGAGTTCAGCTATGGACTTTGTGGCAGCGGAGGGAAGGTATGTGTAGAGGTCCGGCGGACTAGGTTGAGGTCCGGCAGGCGGCCAAGGCGAGGTTGCCGCCCGCCGGTGACGCGAAAAAAAAAAATACTAAACTCTTAACCTTGCTCTGATACCATGTTAAAAATGATGTATTATTGATTGATATATTGATGTTGTGTATGTTTCTTTTATATATTACAAATAGTGAGTGGCTCATTATATAGGAGAGGGTGAGTGTAGTAGGTGAGGAGTAGGTGGTGGTAGGTGATGGTAATTTGGTGGTAGGTGATGGTAAATGTTAACAGTTACATTATCATACAAAAAATATACCTGAACAATACAATAAATACTTCCAAAAAAACTCGGGCCCTCCCTGAAATGCCCATTATAGTAAATCTAAGTGTAGACACCTCACAACATTCAACCAACAAAATTTCAAGAAATTCAAGTAAACAAAAAATCTACTGAAGAACACTATGCAATTAAGTGTACCAACCTTGCCTTGGCGCAACACATTAAGTGCCTGCTCAATGGAAGAGAACCCTTCAGAAGGGCAGTCAGGATCGCCCTCGGCATCACTGACAAAGAAATCAATGGTTTCTGGTGTAATCTCAGCATCCAGAGTCCCAAATGGAGCCAAAGACGAATCCTTCAAAGCACCCAACAAAGGCCCATTTTCATTTCCCTTCAGAGAACCTTCATCAAAAAGATTCTGGGCTCCAATTCCATGTACCCTGATTGCCCAACACACCGAATTCAGCAACCGGTTACTCTTCTGAGGAGCTGCAAAAGATTGATGAAATCTGAAACAGAAACACAATGTGTATAAGCTTGTAGATAGTATAAATTTGATGGGAATTGGGGTAGAGGAAGAGAAGCTTATTTATTTTTTGGTAATGAATTTGGTTATGTACCTTCTTGAGGTGATGAAGATGTGAGGAAACAGTGGGTGCTGAAATAAAACGCAATCCATGAAGAAGAATTAAGTTGTTGTTCTTGTGTTTGTGTGTGTGTTTGATGGGATGAATTTGAAATTGTGAACGTGATGTAAAAAAAGCAAGAAAACCCACCTCAAGTTCTGGATTGGGATGTGTCAGCACTGGTTTGTATTGTATTGTATGTTGTATTGTTGTGTGTTATCCAATCATCAACTGTTTAACTAGAATCGTACGATACTTCACAACAACATGCATACCAATCACGGTGACTGCGCACAAATAATGGACATGAACAAAAACACAAAAAATGTACTGTGTGGTCTAAATTAATCATATTTTATAAATAACTAAAAAAACTCAGTTATACCAAAATAAATAAATTAATTAATTAAATTCTGTGCCTCTAGTATTGAAAATTTACCCATAAATCTTGTATGGGAAATGTTGTTCCATTTAATTTTAAGAGTTTTTTTATGAACTAATTAGTCTTTTTTGTTTTGGAAAGTAGTATTTATTTGATTTGGTGCAATTTGAGTTAAGTAAATATCTTTTTGTGATTCATTTTTTTTATTTTTTGATTCGTTTTTGGGATAAAAATGAAAAGGTAAGGTGTGAAAGATTCTTTTTAAAAGGATTAGTGGCTGAAGTGTTGGTTATCGAGCGTTGAAATCTACATTTCTATTATTGTAGTTTTCTGGTGTTACATTAGATTGCTATATTTGGAAAAAATATATTAAAAAGTTTTTGTGTTACATTGATTGTAATGTTACGTTTAGAAAAAATACACTAAGGAGTTTTTTTGAAATATTACATTGTTACGTTTAAGAAAAAATATACTAATGAGTTTTTTAATGTGTTACATTGGAGTGTTACGTTTGGAAAAAAATACATTTTTTGAAATGCTACGTTATTACGTTTGAGAAAAATACACTACGACATTTTTTAGTATGTTATATTGGAGTATTACATTTTAGAAAAGTATACTAAAGAATTTTTGTGTGTTACATTGATTGGAGTGTTACACCACAGGAAATTACACTTTTGGCAACTAAAAAAAATTTAGTCACCAAAAGTTGTGGAATTGACGACCAAACATTATATTAGTCGGCAAAAGTACAAGATTTAGCTACTATTTTTTTTAGTCGAGGTATATTGATTATTGTCGACAAAAAAAATGTAGTCGCTAAAAATATCACAATTAGCGACAAAACAAAAATTTTAGTCGTTGTATAGTTACTTTTGGCTACTAAAATTATTTAGTCATCGAATGAAAAATAAAAATTTACTTTTTAGCTTTGGCGACCAAGGTGTTGATAGGCAAAAATTTATTTTCAGCGACTAAGTAATATTTTAGTCGCTGTATAGTTAGTTTTGACTACTAAAATTATTTAGTCGCCGAATGAAAAATAAAAAAATAATTTCTATCTTTGGCGACCAACAATTTAGTCACCAAAAATGTATCTTCAACGACTAAAAGAAATTTTAGTCGCTGTATAGTTAGTTTTGGCTACTAAAATTATTTAGTCGCTGAATGAAAAACAAAAAATTAATTTTTATCTTTGACGACCAAGATTTTGGTCCCCAATGTTATGAAAGTAGAGAGAGAAGAGAAAGGAGAAACTCTATATTGAATACATTAAATGAAATACAAGAAGCCTGTATTTATAGGCTGAGAAGAAACCTAGATAAATATAGAAAAAAAGAAAGAGATAAAAAGAGATGAGATACATCTACAATACAATTAGATAAGTATAAATAATAATATATATCTAACACCCCCCCTCTCTCAAGCTCAAGATGGTAAGTCAGATATCAACTTAAGCTTGGAGAGAAGATCAGAGAAGCGTCCTGGAAGATAAGCTTTGGTGAAGAGGTTGATGGTATGATCAGCAGAGGTAACAAAACGAAGACAAGCATGGCCACTAGTAACATGCTATCGTATGAAGTGGTAATCAATCTCAATATGCTTGGTGCGATCATAGAAGACATCGTTATGTGCAATCTGAATAGCACTCTGATTGTCACAATAAAGATTGGTGGCAACAGAATGAGAAACACCCATGTCAAAAAGAAGCCAACGAAGCCGCACAAGCTCCTGAGTAATGTCAGCAAGAGCATGATACTCAGCCTCGGTACTAGAATGAGCAACAAGAGTTTGCTTCTTGCTACGCTAAGAAATGAGAGAGTTGCCCAAGAAGAAGCAGAACCCAGTAGTGGAACGACGATCAGTAGGATCCCCTACCCAATCGGCATCAGAAAATGCATGCAACTGTAGAGAAGAGTGAGAGAAGTAGTGAAGACCATGAAACAAAGTTCCTTTGAGATAGCGCAAAATATGAATCAGAGCAGCATAGTGTGGAGAGCGAAGAGCAGCCATAAATTGATTGACAATGTAAACAACATAAGTAATATCTGGACGAGTAACTGTGAGATAGATAAACTGCTAACTAGCTGACGATATAAAGTGGCATCAAACAATAGGGGACCGTCAAGGGGTGTAAGACGAGTCTGAGGATCAACAGGAGTAGTGATAATCTTGCAATCGGTAAGGCTAGCACAAGCCAAGAGATCAGAAGTATACTTGGCTTGGGTAAGAAAATAACTAGAGGAATCTTGAGAAATTTCCAAGCCAAGGAAGTAGCTAAGCAAACCCAAATCTTTCATCTCAAATTGGCGATGGAGAAACTGTTTGAGACTAGAAATACCCACTGTATCATCTCCAGTGATAATCATATCATCCACATAGAGGAGAAGGAGAATAGTACGACGCTCCTTCTTACGGATAAACAAGGCAGAATCATGGGCACTGTAAGAAAAACCAAAGTCACAAATGGTAGACTGAACTTGGCAAACCAGGCACGAGGAACTTGTTTCAAACAATACAAAGCACGACGGAGTTTGCAAACTTTGTTTGATGGAACAAAAAAACCAGAAGGGGGTTTGCATATAAACTTCCTCAGTGAGATCACCATTAAGAAATGCATTCTTGACATCCATCTGAGAAAGACTCCAGTGGCGAGCAGCAGCAACGGCAAGTAAGCTACGAACTGAAGTAAGACGGGCAACAGGAGCAAATGTTTCCTCATAATCAATCCCATATTCTTGAGTACATCCCTGGGCTACAAGGCGAGCTTTGTAACGCTCAATGGAACCATCAAAATGAGTTTTGATCTTATAAACCCATTTGCAACTAACAGTATGCTTGCCAAGAGGAAGATCAACCACATCCCAGGTATGAGTTTGTTTGCAAGCCTGTAGTTCATCAGTCATAGCTTGTTGCCAAAGAGGGTGAGAAAAAGCTTCGCGATAAGAAGTAGGTTCGTGAGAGCAAAAGGCAGTAGAACCAACAATATAATCATAGAGAAGAACAGAATGTTGCTTTACCCGTATAGAATGACGCTCAGGTGGAGGAGGAACCTCAATGGGAAGTGGAGATGGAGGTACCTCCACTGGAGCTGGAGAAAGCGTAGGACCGTCATCAAACACAAGATCCTTAGGATGGACGATATGCATAGGCGGCTGTGGAAGCATGGGGCCAAAATCTACATTAAAAGCATCAGAAAACAGGTCGATAAAAATATCAGTGAAAACCGGTGAGTAGAGGGACTGTGGTAAGTGAAACTTGGAAAGAGTAGAGAACATTTTGTGTTCCCAGAAGACCACATGACGGGAAATATGAAGACGCTTAGAGATAGGATTCCAACAACGTTACCCTTTATGTTCTATACCATACCCTAGAAAACAACAAAAATGAGAATGAGGTTCTAGTTTAGTGTGTTCATGAGGCTGAAGTAGAACCAAAAACTTTAAGAGTGGTATAGTTAAGAGGAGAACTATACAAGCGCTCGTAAGGAGAAGTGTTAGCTATGACAGGTGTAGGGACACGATTGATGGTGTGGATGACAGTCAGGGCAGTTTCTCCCCAAAATTTTTCAGGACAAAAAGAAAAGATAAGAAAAACACAAGTAGTGTCTAGAATATGACGGTGATTTCTTTCGGCTTGTCTATTTTGTTGGGAGGTGCCTGCACAAGATCGATGAGAGAGGGTACCATGAGCCCGAAGAAAATCATAATCCAAGTACTCCTTATCATTATCAGAACGGAAAATCTTAATAGTACAAGAAAACCGAGTGCGAACCATAACACAGAAATCAAAGTAAATCTGTTTAAGTTCAGAGCGATTTTTGAGAAGAAAAAGCTAAGTATAGCGAGAAAAATCATCAACAAAAATCACAAAATGTCTGGACCCCTCATGGTTGGTGTAGGGGAAGGTTCCAAAATATCTGAATGCACAATATCAAAAGGAGCAGTAGAAATAGAATTACTTTTATTAAAAGGTAAGGCAGGTTGTTTAGCAATTTGACAAAATAAACAATCGACATCTTCAAGACGAACATGACCTAACTAACCACTAAAAACTAAAGTTTTCAAACGATTAAGAGAGACATGTCCTAAACGACAATGCCAAAGATGAAAAGAAGACATAATAGATACAATAGCAGTAGTAGATGATTTGTGTGAACTACAAAGATGGATAAGCTCGAACAAATGTCCATGCTTATGGCCTATCCCAAGGATCTGTCTCATCTGAGGGTCCATTAGCAGAAAAGGTAATAGTTAGACCAAGTTCACATAACTGACCAATAGAGATAAGGTTCAATTGAAGAGCAGGAATATGGTAAGCATCAGAAAGAGACATAGTGGAAGTAGAGATTTGGCTAATGTGACTAACAGGCATATGAGAACCATTAGCAGTGTGTATAGTGGGAGCAGAAGATGATGATGATAAAGAAAAAAATAGAGTGAAGTCAGAAGTCATGTGATTACAGCATGCAGAATCAAAATGCCGTGAAGAGTTACCTGAGGTTACTGAAAGAGCAGTAGAGGGAGGAGTACCAGATTTGGCGAGCACCTGGTGGATAATGGACTCAACATCATCCATAAAGAAGGAAGGAGCAGAGGAACCCTCAGAGGCAACAGCAGCAGAGTGAGAACCGTAGCTAGATTTTGACTGATACCCATAACGAAAAGCCCCTTTCTTGGATGAAGTAGTTGAGGGAGCTTGAAGACAATTGCTTTGGAGATGGCCTAGAGCAATCTTGTGACAAGTCAAGCATTCGTGAACCTGGCAGTGAACAAAAG